CCCCATGTTTGTAGTCTCTGCTTGGGTTCTGGTGAAACAATTTCACACATACTAAACCTCATGTCCCTTTGTGTTCTTTATTTGGTCCTGGTTCTCTTCTCCCTTTGGCTGCAGGTGGACTCCTCCCCGCAAGTGTGGTGAGCCTCTTTGATCCATCGTTTTGCAGGCAACCAAAGGTCCGTGGAAGGGTTATGTGGAGAGCCACTAGAGCTGCTGTATTGTGGTCAGTGTGGGAGGAAAGGAACAATAGGATCTTCAAAGATAGTTGTAAATCCAAGGAAGGGGTTGTGGAAGGAATAGCCACCAAGTTATCCATTGGTTGAAATCTTGTGATCTTTTTAAGGATTTCTCAACTGAAGGCATTTATAGAAACTGGAGTACTGTGGCAAATACAACTTCATCAAGGTGTAAAACTGGCCAAACAATTGGAGCTACAGCAAATTGAGATAGAGGGGGACTCCAAGTTGGTAATTGGGTGGATGCAATCAGGACAGCTGAGAATTTGGCAATATAGACAGCTGATGAGGGAAATACTTAGCATAACAAGGGAGATGGGTGTTTGTTTCAAGTGGGCAAGGAGGTCAGCAAATGGTTTTGCTGATGCTTTAGCTAAACAAGGGACTGTAAGGGAGAGACTTTACTGGGCAGTACTGTAATGGTTGGTGTTTATTAGATCAATCTCTTCTAATAAGGGTTGACTCCTGTTTCTCAGTTTTAATTTTCCTTTAACAAAAGTTACCGTTTCTGATAAAAAAAGGCCCCTTTAGATGACAAAGAACAGTATCGTTTTCAGAAGCTGGTCAGTCAAGGCCAAGTATTTGCTTTTTCTATTGCTTTTTTTCTAAATCCGTAATAGAGAAGCTTAACTAAGATAGGAAAATAAGAGGTACAAATGCCATAACCCTCATCCACCCACCGGCATAAAAAAAAAAAGCAAGGGGAAGCAAGACCCACATTGAGGTCTCCACAAAGGCTAACCAGCAAAATACGAAATCACCAATAAAAAACTACAGGAATTACAGTCTACCTAATGTTGCATGGACTCTCCTGAATGGATGAAGTGTCTGTTGGACGCATCAGAAAACTATATGACATTTTTTCTTTTTCTCCTATTATTCAGCATGAATACAGAAAATTTACGCAATGAATATCATATTTACTATAAAATGTTAAGTGACAATTACTATCGGTTAACACCTTTTTATAGGTTTATAATGTTAAAATTCAGAAAAAAATATGGATCTTTTCAATAGATTATACTATTCTATAAATGTGTATGTGAGTTCTTGCTTCTTCATCTTGCCGAGTTAGAATCCTGAATGGATACATGCTGGATTCTGATTTCTGTGTTCATATCCATGTACAACTGAGTAAGCCCATGAGAGACAAACTGGAATGCAACATGCTACTCCCAACTCCACCTCGATCAAGATCATCTACCAGTTTCTCAGAGCAAGTATGCCTTGAAATGCAATGCTTTAACTGACCTGAACCATTTCCTCTCCCTACTTGGACCAAACCATTTCCAGATACCTCCCTCTAAACACTTAGGACTCCACCAATTCGATCCACCCCACCCTTCTCCAATGAATTCTTCCCCACCCGGAAATCAAAAACCCATTATTTTACTGACCTGAACCTCTTCTTCAACTACTTGTTCCAAATCCATTTTCTTCAACTACTTTATCTAATATGAAGCGATCAACTTCTTCTTTACACATTTTCTTTTCTCAGAAGTTCATTCGATTATATTCTTTGGTTGTTGGGTACTTGAGTGCATAAACTAATTGAGAACCCAGAAACCTATATTCAGTAGTTCTTGAGTATCACTGAAGCTAGAAAGAACATTTTTATTTTTTGATAAGCAAGATATAAAAACGGTTTCTTTGTACTGACAAATTTGTCAAGGCAATAATTGTTGGAAACATACAGATATAAAGACGAGAAAACACATACATGTATAGTAATCTACAACAACCTAAGAATATTAGTGCACATGAACACCTAACAAGGAAATAAAAAAGGGAACACAAGTTCAGTTGAATTCGGATTATCTGAATGCAATGGCTGTGTATCAGGCTATGGAACCAACGATAAACCCCACACTAGTCAAAAAAATACATGAGACCCACAGTAAGAGGCTGAATGGCTGTGGGTCCCATGTATTTTATGACTGGTGTGGGGCTTTATCATTGGTTCCATAGCCTGCTGAATAGCTATTGCATTCATCTAATCATCAAAAGGGAAGTAAAAAAAGGGAAACACAAGTTCTGTTGAACTTGGATTAGCCAAATGCAATGGCTGTGTAGCAGGCTATGGAACCAAGGATAACCCCCATACTAGTCAAAAAATACATGGGATCCACAATAAGAGGCTGACTGGTTGTGGGCTCCATGTATTTTATGACTGGTGTGGGGCTTTATCATTGGTTCTATAGTCTGCTGAACAGCTATGGAATTCAGCTAATCATATCTCGGTTCAGTTTAACTTATTAGCACCTTCTACTCTTTTTATGGTTGATGATATGCCCTTCTTTTCAGCTTAATGAATTGGCACAAGAACAATCTATTGCCTTCAATTTGTTTATAAAGTAGAAAAGTTTGGACAATCTGTTTTGATATAAAAGCTGTAAAAGAAAGAAGAAAAGGTTTCAACTGAGGAAGAGAGAGGAGAGATAAAAGAGAATGGGAGAAAATCAGAATTAGGTCTGGCCGCCCCTTTCATTAGATTATATACTCATAAATAAAAGAGAGTACAAAGACAAGTATGCCCTTGGTAAGTCGGCTACTTGTGAGAACTTAAAAACACTCTTAACTTAAAAAACATAAACTAATGGGCCTAAGGCCCAATAACTCACTAACTATGCTATGTAAATAAAAAAGCATGTTATATCAGCCCAAAACTCAACAATAAGTAAATGAAATTTATATTAATCAGAGAACAGAATTACAGGTATAATCAGTATAAGCATCCATAAGAGGTGCAAGATGCAACCCATCCCATCATAAACAGGGAAAAAACAACTACAACCTTGCCCAATACAATTAATCCATACTCACCCCTTGCTTAATGAGAGTATCAGTGAAAGCATTGGCAATCCTCCTCACCCATTGTATTCTCTAAGCCATAATTCTTGTTAGCCACTTGATTTCTTTCATTCATTTATGTAAATGTATTGCCTTCAATTTCAACAACATATATTTTTACAAATACCAGTTTCATTACAAAATTCATCATAACTCATAAGAGATTTAACACCATCACTATGATGATTAAAAAGACAATAGAAAAATAAAGAGAGGAGGACATTCACACAATATGGGAAGAACAGCATGTTACAATCTTATATATAGATTCATAAGCTATTGTAATAATTTTAAAATCCGATGTTAGATGCATTATACAGCTTTTACTTTTCCTAACAAAATTCCAAAATGCATAGAATTCTACTAGCAATTGTCGTTAGCAAATTTTTAATGGTTATGTTGCAAAGAAAAAATACCTTTCTGGCCACCATAGTGAGGAGCAGTATCCCAGAACTCCTCTCGCATCTGTCTAAGCTGTGTCCTTGTTAGTGGCTGAGAATGCTTCCAAGGCTTTGGCTTTCGGATCTTTTTCGTACTCTCTATAACATCAAAACTGACCAATTACTGTATTTTTTTTATTGGTACCAGTTACTGTATCTAATAAGCAGCAATTTAAATCTATCAAAAAAGGTCATTCTAGTTGTATTACTGTAAAGATTAATCGGACATAAGATGAGAGAGAGAGAGAGCGTATGTGTGTGTGCTCACGTGCATTTCTATACATTGGGACATGTACAACTGTATGACCAGTTAGTCATTTCAACTTATATACAAATTGTCATAATTAAAACAAAATATTGTAAAATACTCCATGAAAAGCTTCATGCGCAGACATCCAAGAGTACAAGGTGCTCACTGCTTGCTTAACAATGACCTCTGAGGTAGGTTTATTTTAAAAAATGCAGGCATTCCTCTCCCTCCAAATATTCCATAGGACAACTGCTGGTAATAAATGTCAAATATGAAATAACCTTTTTTCTTCCACTTAATCTTTGCAGATTCTGGCTGTGAAGTAGGGCTTCCAGACTGAGAGACCAACACCCTTTTCACCCCAAAACAGCTAGAAATTTGACCTGTAGAGTCTAAGCTACAATACAAGTTACAGTGAATAAAACGATGATCTGCTACAGCTGCCTGAACACATAAAACACACTATTGAGTCTAACACCAAACCTCTCCTAATTCTATCCACCTTCATTAAGCACTTCCCTAGCATGGCTGACCAAATCAGGAATGCTACCTTGAATAGGATATGAGGTGTCCAAGTTTTGACACTAGGGAAGTTCTAGTGGGCTTCACCACTTAGGCTCTTGTAGAAAGATCACAAGGTGAAGACTTCAGAACGATCCCATATCCAGATTCTTCTATCACGATGGTTCAAGCAAGCCTCTCCTTATGGACCATCGCTAATGRTCCATTCATCTCCACCACTTCCTAATCATTCTAGTTCCCTCTCAACCTAGGATTCCACACCACCTGGCCATTCTGGTGTTCAAAGTAACCTGTCCAGTTTGACTAGAGCAGGCTTTTCTTGGTTATTAGACCATGTGTACTTGGTTCCCAGTAGAGGGGAATCCACAAGCTCTGATTTCTCTACAAAATCAGCAAACCCTTTCATTCCCCTCCATCTTTCTTTCCAAAAAAATCTAGGCCATTACCCAATGTTGGTCCTAGCTATCTGGAGTCTTGGGAGGGGTAGACTGGATACAGTCCTAACATTTGGCATATGTTTTGCACAAAGTGATCACTCTCAGACTCTAACCCGTGTTCTCATGCTTCCCAACTTGATATTTTAACATCTAAAATGCACTAAGGTAATTGCCCCCTCCACCTTGTGTCACCAAATTCTTCCCATTGAGCGCACCTTAGAGCATCGTCATTGGAACCAAACACCAATGACAGCAGCCATTTAAAGACCTCTAGCATTTGTAGGTGATTGGAAACAGAAAACTGGCCTATGGGTACAATGCTGTTGTGTATCATCATTCTTTCCAATGAAATTAATAATGCCTTTATTGCAAATCAAAGGCAGCTTCTGCCCTTTAAAGACATGGGCCTGCATTATGAGAAAAACTTAAACCGAACAATATTCACAAAAACACCTTATAGTGAATCCATCATTAACAAATCTCACCATGCAAGTGTGTTTACATTGAACTCCACTACTCAGGAATCTGATTGGGTTTAGCATCACACAGCCTATCTAGAGTAATGGTAAAAAGTATAGAGCTAACATGTTAAGTTTCCTTTTATATCTGACGCTACATTCATCAAGCCTTGTTCCCTGAGAGAAAAGAGGGATAATGTTTGTGGGTAGGGGGGAATCTACTGATACAAATTGAAAAGAAAAGGAACAAGTTTTCTCCTAGAGAAATGATCTCTAAAGTTTCCTTAAGAAGTTTCATTCATGTTAAGAAAAAACCTTGGCATGGGGGTAGTTCCAAAATAAGCATGAGAGAGAGAGAGTACAGAATAGAAACACCAACATCCATAAGAAGGCTGAGAATGACTTCCCTAGTACTGTAGAGAGATTTGGTTAATTCCATAGTGTTGCATGGATCTCCTAAGTGACTGAAGTGTCCATGTCAGACAAGCATTGGATTCTGACACTCCATGGATTCTTCATGGACATTTTGATATGACATTTTTCCTTTATCTACTTGCTTATTTGACATGAATGAATGGCTAATATACCCAAAGAATGCCATTTCTATAGACACCATCATTAAGTAACAAAGATAAAGTTCTGGACCTTCTTTATAGGTAGTCAGACACCCAGACATGCATCGTATTCTGATTCTCGTGTCCATGTCCATGTCCATGCAAAACTGCCATAGAGGGATCAACTCCATTGCTGATGGCTTGGGAAGATTGGGTATGGGGAATATTTTTTGTACAGCAGAAGCTCCATGCCTTCGTATTTTTTTCTTGAGAGAATCATGAGGGTATATAAAGATACTCCTTTTGTAAATATGACAGTGCATCCCCTCATGTATTGCCTAAATAATTTCTGTCTATCAATGAATTTGTCACCTTTCCTCAGACCAAATAAATAAATGGTTTTCTACATTCAAGGACAAGACGAGGCCTCTAATGGTAGAAATTTGAAAAAGAATGAATTGGAGAATCTAAAAGATCTACAGAAGAATCATATACATTATGTTTCTCATTAACACAAGTAGGAGATTGTACATTTTGCAACAGAAGTTTATTATAGACAGAAACAACCAATCTGATCAGAATGTGTCAATAAAATACATGGTGTGGGTGGGAAAAATATACTTAGTTACTTCCAAAACTGTAGACAAGAAAACTGCYAAGGACACAGCAGAAAGAAAGATAAGAATAAATAGACAGAACTTACAGAGAACTCATCATTTAACTCGTTAATGGAGGGGCACAGTCTTAATGTCTTATGTGATAGGCGAATACAACTTTGGCTAAAAGGAAAATTATATAAAAAAGATTAATAAAAAAATTCTATAAAACAGTTGTAAGGCCACCTTTGATATTACTGTAAGATATAAACTTAGTTCTTAAACCTTTCTATAACAATGGTATCAAACTATCAATAATAATAAAAAAAGAAATAACACGTGCATATARTATTTCTATGTGCAAAAAAAACACAAATTTGAAAAAAAAAAACAATGTTGCTTAACTTTAACCTTTTCTGACCGCAAGAAATGTCAAAAATAGCAATGTCCAGATTTTGGACAAAACTATAACAGATAAATAGTTTCTAAAACCAAATCTATCTCAGCACTACAATGTTTATGCATCAATTATGCACAAGCATATCTGATGCACCCATTTTCAAGTAAAATATGATTAAAGTGGAATAAATAAAAAAATAATCCCAGAGAGAGAAAATTCTATGAAAAACACAGACAGCTATGCACAAACCCTTAAACCAATAAAACAGGAGAGCTAGTAGGCAAATTGAAGAAAAGAGTAAAAAACAAATGCCACAATAATAATAAAAAAAAAGTAGTTAACACTACAACTTCTTGATTTTTTTTTATGCAAAAAGAAGATTAGGGCAGTACAAGTTGAAAGGGCAGGGGGAAAGAATAACTACTGATATAATAGACAAAATGTCAATAGTATGACTGATGCATTATCCAAACAAGGGGTAACTAGAGATGAGTTTTTTTGAGCTCAGTTGTAGAAGTAACACTAGGGAGAGATAGTACACTCTATCCTCTCTTTGAACTGCATGTAAAATCTGTACATCTTTCTTGTTTATAATCAATAAAGCTCTTCTTATTTATCAAAAAAAAAAACTTCATGAAATATTTGTACAGAATCAGTAAAAGAATGTGGTATCAAGGAACTAAGATACTCTTAAATGCATATGCAGAATTCACCTGACACAATGATGACGTTTTTCAAGGGAAAAGGGAAGAAAGGAAACAACTCTTTAATATCATGACCATAAACACAAAGTAAAAAGCAGTGATTGTGGGTCTTTTCCTTCTAAACATTTTTCCCTACATGCAACTGGGTGCGCATACATGAATAAGATGAAGATGAGGGAATTCAATAACACCCAACCATAGCATACTCAGCATGCAAACATCTTCACCCCCATTTTGCTACTTATCCACCAGGTGCACATTTATGAATAGGATGAAGACAATGGAAAATCGAATTAAACCAAACTGAACCAAATGCAACATGCAAACAAATCCAGCCACAATTTGCTACTTATCCACCAAAAGTTTGTCAACTTAAAATATCTTAACCTGACAGAGTGCTACAAGGTGCACAAAAGAACCTAAAAATGCATGTGAGCCTCTAGACAAGAAAAGTGATTACCCAAAGAAAATTTCTGGTTAATAGGTAAGTTTCATATCTGCAAGTATCTCAACATTACTACCTTGTAATGATCTGATTAACATAACATATATATGGGGCCATTTTGAAAATTATATAATTTTAACTACCGAGTATTGTCTAATCATGAGATATTGCTAAAAACAAGATACAAATAGAATGCAACACCACAGGCTAATGATGACAGCTATGATGATAGGAATGACACTAAGAACCCTGGGATGGAGAATGCATAGAACACCATGAAATCAAAATGCGATCCCATTTATATAAATATCATATGAATGAGAGAGAGAGAGAGAGAGAGAGAGGGTGTCCTTAGCATGGCTGCTGGAAGAAGGGAGGAAAAGACCTCAAGATCTATGCAAAGCTTATGAGATTCTTACACAGATATACCAAAAGATGTAAAGCATATTCAAATGAGAATTTATATAAAACATTTTCAAGCATGTAGAACCTCTAATCTCTTTTTTCACTCAATTGCAGTACTTCACATAGCTAATGTAATGTAAAACATATTACATTCCTGATTCTACGAGCGGCTTTGTGCCACACCCCTCGAGGCAAGTCCAAACAAGTCCACGTTTGGTATTAAATTTTTAGTTTTCACACAAAAAATAATGATTTTATAGTTTTAATTGCTTTTTAAGAAAACATTTTATTAGGATGAATGAATGAACAACATTACCAAATTGGGGGTTCTCAGAGCTTCGGTTGCGCCCCCAGCCCAGCCGTTATGTTAAAAGAAAAAAGCAAAAAAGCGCCAAATTTTCAAAAGGCGCACACCTGGGCTGAGGCGCAAGGTGCACCAGGCCTGCGCCTTTTGAAAGGGCTGTGCCTAGGACCTAGGTGAGGCGCATACCCTGAAATACGCCTCGCCTGTGCGCCTAGGCACACCTTTTAAATCACTGAATATAACTCTGAGTTCATAATCGACCTCTTCTATATTTAGCAACCAGCTTGTGCTAGTTTAGACAATTATGAAAAAGTTAAAACTTAAAACTAGAAAAAGCAAAAAATAACTTGAGCAGTGAGCACCATGAATCACGATGGCACAAACAAGAAAGTAGTTAGGTAGGTCTCTTACTAAGATAGCATAGATTTAAAACAATTTACTTAAGTTCAACCGTATAATCTACCCCTATAAATATTTGAATTACAATGACAAAGTCCAAACAGGTAGCAGATGCAGATCGCATGTAGTAATCAGTCAGAATTAGTCCTTTAAAGGCCAAAATCAAAGGGCAGGCATTTATCAAGGAAGGCTTACCATTCACACAACACTAACAAAAATACCCGATAAGGTGGAACCGTGGAATTCCAAAGAAACTCAAGATTAGATATAACAGCAAAGAAATTTTCCGCACCAAGCAGAACGAAAACATGAAATTGGCTCATTCTTAAGAGCATACAGTTAATACAGGTACATGAATTACTCAATACAGGTGAAACTACACAAAACAAGCGGTCGTTGCAGAGCCTTTTCCCTTGTTTCTTTTTGCTTCCATTTCATAGCAAATCATCATCACTCGCATTGTACCAGTAGAAATAACAATTCATCTAATCGCATCTCAAAGAAATATAATTACAAGAAATACGATCTCGAACCTGAGAAGAGACTCAAGAATTGAATCGACTACAATAAACAGAAATGAAATCAAAGAAAAACTAAACGTGTGAAACGATGATAACTTGCATGGAGGTGAACTCACCGTCTCCTTTGCTCTGCGAGGATCCAGCACAACCCATCGCGTCTCACCAAACAACCAGATCAACAGAAACAAAGCAGAAAAAAAGCTCAAAGAAGCTTCATCAACACAAGTCGAATGAAGCTTGTACTGTATGCTCACTCCGCCGTCAGATATCAGTGTGACGAATCCGGCGAAAATTCCGGTATGAATTCCAGAAGTTCAGAGGAGGAAATCAAGGACGAATCAAGGGCTCCAGAGGTCAAAAGACTCAAAACTGGCAAATAATAATAATAACAAAAAAAAGAGAATAGATGAGAGAGAGAGAGATAGAGAGAGAGATAGAGATTGAGAGAGAGAGAGAGAGAGATTAGAAGGAATATATTAGAATTTAGACGGAAAAGAAAAGAAAAGAACGACCAGAGTGAAAAATAAGAGAGGAAGGAAGAGTAGAGAAAGAAAGCTGTCACAAGAGGGGGTGGTTGATTTTTCATTTTTGTGTACGTTTCTCGCGCGAGTTAGTGATCCAATACACGCGCTTTCATCGGTATCTACTACATGTTTATTATTCATTGGCAGAAATAAAAGGTCATACTTTTCGGTGTGTAACCATCACTGATAAAAACGTAGTGCGTACACGATTGACTCAATGAAATGAAGTAGATTGAATCATTAACCCAGGTAGAAAGCTCTCGCCGAGTCACTCGCTGGTCTTTTTGGCGTACAAAGAAGACCGACGGCGAAAAAACTTCTGATACGAAACCAGTCACGCCCCACATGGTTTTGCCGTTTTATTATATCCACCGTCAAAAGGAGCGTTTGCTGCTTTTGAAAAGAAGCGAAACTGAAGCTACCCGACGACCCTTTTCCTGGTTTTTACTTTTTACCACGTCCGATTAAAAACAAAAATCGGAGAAAKAAGTGTCAAATCGGGAGTCCGGATCTGCCAGCTCTCCTCACACCGACCTCACTGCATGTCCCGGCCCGACATGTTTTAAGAAAACGGTACGGATATAGAATGGGAGAAGAAAGAGGTTCATGGGTAAGAACGGGATATACATACGTACATATGTATATATATATTATGTATCATATAAATATTATATATAATATATTTTTTAATTTTTAATATATTAAAATATAGTAGATAGATGGCAATTCTTTAATTTTTAAAGCAAATGATTAGGTTTTAAGTCTTTTATTCACATTTTCTTTAAAATACGTGTATAATAAAGTAATATGTACAATAAAGAATCATTAGTTGATATAAGTAAAGAGGTTGCTTAATGATAATTAAGCAATATATGGAAATTAGAAGTCATGGGTTCAAGTCTTACCAAATTCATTTTAAAATTTCAATTGCTAAGGATTTGAGCAGTTTCAAAAAAAATCGGTACCAGTTCACCAGTTTTCTAGTTAAATTGGTCAGTTAGCGAGTTTTTATTGAGTTTTTATCAAATGCAGTTATTAGGGTATAACCGAACCGGCCAAGGTCCTAAGTCATGGTTCAATCGGTCAAGTCGCATATGAGGAACATCTCTCATACTTGTGTTTATTATTCATGGGGAGATGTTTCCAATACACGGTGGGATGTGGCTGTGATAAGGAGAAAATCCCAATTCTCAAATTGGAAACATGGGCTAATCAAAGTAGTCCATGCCAGTTCATCCCACATATCATGCTGATGTGGGTATATCATAGTTTCCATTTAGTTTTTTAGTGAATTACACATAGAAGATGCCAAAGCATGCTAGTTCACATCGGTGCCCCATAACACATCCCAATTGTGTATTGGGAACATCTCTCCAAATGATAAGTACGAGAAATGTTCCCAATGCACACTAAGATGTGCTTGTGGAGCACTGGTGTGATTTGCAAGCCAACACCAAGAGCGAAAGAGCTCAGTAGATTTTTGCCTAAATCTGAACCCGACCCAACATGAAATAACCCTTAACTCGACCCAACTAAATGAAGATGGGTATCAAATAAAGATGACAATTTTCCCTGCACCTATCGGGTACAACCCGATCGGGTCGGGTATAGAGGGTGCTTTGGAGAGGATGGGGATAGGAAAATTTAGGATACCAAGTCGAGGTAGGGGACAAGGATGGGGAGTGAAACCCTTGCCCCACCCCGAACTCAATATTTTAAATATATTTATATATAGATATACTTTATATTTAAAATTTTAAATATAATTATACATATATTATTATTTGACTAATGGGAAAATCTATGATACCTGAAAGACATGATAATAGAAGAGCTTTGACCAATCAAAGCATCCTGTGAATTTTGATGAATATGACCTAATGGCTCACCTCTTTTGTGATATTGGTTGACAATCAAAACATCATAGCAATGGTGCTCTAGTAACGATTTTGAAAATAATTTGTACTAAGACTCAAATCATATTAATCTTTTAGGTCCCATTCATTTTTCGGTAAGTTACTTACCCAGGTTAATGCATTTACTCGAGTAAGTGTTTTCCAGGGAAGACTTACCCAGGTAAGTGCATTTGCCCATGTTTTTTTATTTCCCATGTAAATAAGGCAATAATCATTTTAGCCATAAAAATCCATTATTAAAAGGGACATTTTTGTCCCATTCAAGTGTTGACAACTTTCCTCCCAGGTGGGAAAGTTATTTAYTCACCTAAGAGATGGGCATACCCAGGGAAAATAAACTTTCCCTAGTACCCACATAAACCTAATAAAAGAACATGGGTTTCTTGGTCAATGGGAATTTACTTTCCCCCCCTCAAAATTTGAAAAAAAGAATGCCCTCTTAAGCGCATTCAGTGGTAATGGACGGAGGTGAAAAGTAATAGTGGACAAATAGATGAATGCCCATGGGATGTGCAA